AAGGGGGCGGGGGGGGGTGCAGGCCGGCGGGGCTGGCGCGCCTGGCCGGGAGCGGGCGGTCAGGAGGGTTAATGCATTATTTATGCTGCAGCCCGTACACGTACACAGCCCAGCTCGCCCATTGCTTCCGCCCGCCGTCCTTCATCCCTGCCTCCGCCGTGCCTCTCCTCCTCTGCCGACCCGGCTCCTAAATCCCAGGGGCAGGAATCCTCTCCCGGGGTGCTTGGAGATCTCGTTCTGCGGCCTTTAGTTGTTACCGTAACACAAATAATTAACTAACGAGGGTGGCGAACAGCAGGCTGAGTCGCAAAGAGGGAAATGTTATTTTCCCCCATGCCTCCCCAGGGCTGTGGTCTTCAGCACACCTAAAGCTTGACTTCCCTCCCCACCCTTATTCGCTCGGGATTTCCTCCACGAGAAAGCGAGGCAGCAGTAAGTTCGAAGGTGGCTTCCAGTGCCCGATCCCCACTCTTGTCCCCCGTGGGTGCTGTTCTCGTTTTGTGCTCGATGATCAGCTTCCGAGTGAGCAAAAGAGACGTTAATGTATCCGCAGAGGGAGCTGTTGCAGAGAAGTTGTGACGCTTCCTTCCCCGCAGACACAAGCCCCACACCGCGGTTCCATAGGAAGGAAGGCGAAGAATAGGATTTTGTTTGGTTTGGAGAGGGGAGAAAATCCCGTGAGGGATGTGGGGTTTCTTTCTGAGGATGCCTCAGTCCTGCCCCTGGTGTGATCATCTTCCCGGGCTGTAACGATCCTCTGCCACGGGTGATGTCCGATCAATTCTCTTGCAAAGCAGCTTGCCGTCATCGGGCCATCAGAGGAGCTTGAGATGCCCAAACAGAAACAAAAGCTTCTGTGTGGAGCCTTTGTTCATTGACGGGAGGTAAACTCGGAACAGAAAATTCCCCACCGACTGCCTGTGGGATCGCTTCAGTGTCCTGCCAGAGCCCGGTAGCTGTTTTCACGATTTTGAGCGTTTCATAGTGACTGCTCTTCCCTAACTTCGCTCTGCGTTTCCCGCTGGATGCTTCCATTGGAACGCTCTGGCTGCCACGTCTTTCTTTGGGAGTATTGTAGATCTTGAGGCCTTTTGCCTCGAAAGTTACAGGTAGGGGGTGTGGAGCGTTTTGCCCTGCTGTTTGGCTCTGGGACTTTGTGCTTTCTAAGCAGGACTTGCTCACACAAGCCGGGGGTGCCCCGTTACGCAGTCCGGCTGGAGAATAGGCGTGAATCCGGGAGATTTTGGGACCTGGAGGAGGTCTGGTAGAGCAAGAAAGGGCCGCAGGCATCTGTGTGAGAGCTCCTTTGCTCACGACTGTAGCTGGCACCGAGCTCCTGGCTTCCCTCGTAACCCGCCCCGGGGAGACAGAGCACGGCCTTGTCTGCGCTGGGGTCGAGGAGCAAAGGCAGAGTCTCCCCAAAAGCGCCTGCGGTGGGTATTGACCTCCCGAAAGGCGGAGGGGAAGAAGCGTGGGTCTGACAGCACCGCAGCCTCTCCTCTCCCTCCGTACCCCCAGCCTGCTGGGCCTTCCGACGGCTGGGGCGCGCGGGACGTCCCCGCTGGGGCCCTGCTGAGGCCTGACTCAGGTCCGTGTCGCTCTCCCGCTGCCGCACAGCGTTGCTCTGCGCACCCGGTGCTCGGGGCCTCGGCGTTGAATTCCTGTATTGCAATACTCCGTTCGTAACGCAGTTTGCGTGCGCCGGGCCAGCAAAGCGCGCACAGCCCGTCTTAACTCTCGGACACGATCCGCACGAAAGTTGCGTGTGGCTTCTGCAGCTTTTCTGCTGTGTATCACATATACGTGGCCACAGCGACGTCTGCTGAGGCTACCGTCGTTTCAGGTTTGCCAGACTAAATTCCTCTTGCAGGAATTGTCTAACGCACAAGGTTTGTTTTTTTTTTTAATTTGTAGCTTACTCTTCAAGGGGCATTTAAATATTTTATGATTTTCCTGAGCCATGCAACCCCTAAGCAGAAGATTCCTGTTGGGTTCAGGACAAAGGAGCTCTAAAGGTGACTTGCAATCTGAAGAGGATATATAGGTACTGCATTTTAAAAAAAGTAATAAATCTGGCAATTAAAATATAGGGCATATTTTTAATGATATTTTCAAGCTCTGTCTTGGGATATCAGACCTGGAGATTAGCTATAATCAAAGCGAAAGCTGAGGGCGAGGGGAGGGTTTCTAGCAGGGCTACAGTAATCCCCTTCTCCCCATTTAAACTGGGGGAGGTGAAGGATGTTTTCGTCACTTAAAGTGGGGCAACGAAAGGTGGCATCTTCTGCTGTCTTTGCCATTATTTTTTCCTTCCTTCTTTTCAAAAGCTTCTGATTTTTAGATACTTTGACAAAAAGAAAAATTTGATCTAGAAGACATGTATGTATCCTCTTAAGTATGAAACAATCCTTGGCAAGTCACTGAGACTCTTCCAGCTCGCAACGCTGGCAAATACAACCTAAAAATAGTAGCAGTGCACGCAAAATTGCACAGGACGAACATAGGTGTGCGAGTTTCCATCGCAGCTGGTCCCCCCGGCGGGCTGGCTGGGAAGGGGGACGGAAAGCGCCGACGGGATGGAGAGCGCACCCGAAGACAAACTGCAGAGAGGTCTCTGCCTCAGGAAGGCAGAATTTGGTGTCCAACTCGAGAGCGTTTTGCTTCTGCCGCGTTGCTCCGCTCGCGTCGCTGCGTAAAGCGCCAGAAATCCCCCCAGCAATTCCCAGTACCCCTTTGTCTGGAAAGTGAGTATGGGAAGCAGCGTGCCACCGGGGACCTGCGCGGCGGCCCCCTCCTGAAGAGCACAGAACCCGGTGGTCTGCTCTTTTATCTTGTTTAAGTGTTTGTAAACGCTCCAGGCGGGGTTTTGCAGCACCGTCGGAACAGATACGGGAATGTTTTGTCATCTGAAATACGCAGTTTTACTTCTCTGTGCTGCCAAACGGTACGCAATTGGCTTGTAAGAGGTAGATGTTTGAGAATAGCTAATGCCTAGTCGTGCTCTGCATAATGCATCTGGTGAAGGAACAATAAATGTGTGGATTTAAACAGAATATAGACAGCTAATTATCTCTGAGGTTAAATGTTCAGTTCATTCCTGAGGAAATACTGGAAAAAAAAAAAAAAACCCAAACCCCAAGAGTGACATTAAGAAACTATTTTTTTAGATCCTAAAATGGTTCTTTGTATTGTACGGTTTTACGATCCTTCATCCAGCACCGTGAAAGGACTCGTCCAGGATGGAAAAAGCAGCAGCTTTGTGCGGGCGCCGGACCTTCCCAGACCTGTGCTGGGAGAGGCGAGGAGGCCGCGCTCCTCCGTCCCCGCGCGCTCTGACCGAGCCATTGTTCGGTGGAAGGAGCTTCTGAAAACCGGTTGTCTCGATTTCAGGGAGGAAGAAAAAAAGAAAAAAAAACCCCAAGTTACAGTCGGGCTCATGCTGTGCTCGCTGCCGAACGGTGCGCTGCTGTCCTCTCGGATGCAGGGTAATAACGCCGCCTGGCTTTGGTTAAAATGTTGGCCTGATGCGTTTTGTGCTCTGTTTCAGGGCAAAAAAGTTAGTTCTTCGAACAGAAATGACCGAGGCATCTGTTGAACATGAGACGAGCGGGCGTGTTTTGGTCTGCTGTAACTTAGCAGGTATTTGCCGAGAAACCCCGAAGTCTCAGGGTTTCAGCGCTGCGTAAATTCCCGAGGGATTCGGTGGAGGCCTGGGAAAAGCCAGGCTGCGTTGTGCCGCGAGTCGGGGCTGGCAGCGCCCGGCGAAGGCAGTAGGAACGTCGGGGCGCTCCCGCGCGCAGCGGGCACGTTAAACCCGCTCCTCCGAGTTTTGTTCCATGACGGGTAGAATAAGTTCCTGAATTTCTAGTGTCATTGTCGCTTTTTTTGGTTTTTTTTCAGGACACGCTATAAAATTGAGTTCGTTCTTGCGCGAGTGCGTTACAGCGGGGGGGTCCGGTGCTGTAGGTAAACACCTGGGTCATCCGAGATGCCGGAGGCTTGGAAAATGGATTTTTATTTGAGAATGATTATGAATTACAAACAGGCCAATTTATTCTACTGAAACGCTGTTGTGTGTACTCACAGAAACGACTCTTACGTGCTTGATCAACAAGATTAAAATAGCTTGGTAAGGGACTACTTAACTCAAAAGCCAATTAGCCAGATGCTGCTGCGCAGCCTGAATTGCGCTCCGGCCCAGCGTGAGGCAGCGGCTGGGGAGATCCCACACCCACCGCGGTAAAAAACCCTCCCCAGAAGCAGGTTTGTTTATTCTGCAGAACTCCGGCTTTCTCAGCAAAAGCACCTTCCGTAGACTAATAAAAAAAAATCCAGACAGATTTCTCACCGTTTATCTCCTTTCCCTTCAAACAGGGAGCTATCGAGTTCCCAGAGTTGACTGAAATAATCTGTCTAGACAGAGCAAGAATAGCACGGCAAGCTAACGCCACGGGTGGGGGATTTAGAAGTCGTTTCTTTTTTGACTTGCTGTCTGTAAAATTTCGAGTGGTTTTCCCTTCTTTCTAAATTAGCCGGAATGCGCCGATATTTGTGCATTTAACGATAACGTGCGTTTCCAGTGCGTTTTGGAAAAGTTTTATGCCGTCAGCTGAACGCTGGCAGCTCTGGGAGGAGTTTGGTTGCTCTGCCTGTGACAGGAGGGAGCGGGGTTTCTGCAGGTTGTGTTGCTCCCCCGTCAGTTCTGTTATAACTACAATATTTTATTTTAATCCTGCCGGTGGATTTCTTGACGTTTGTGTATTGATGCTTTACTGTTTCTACAGACGCGTTCGGTGCGCTATGTAAGCCTTATATCGCCCTGATCTGAAGGAGCTCGCCGCCCGTAACGAGTTTATTTGAACTTGCATTAACCTTTGCTATTTTACCAGTCGTGAAATTTCCACTTGGGTTTTAAAAACGCTTGTGTGTTTTACAGCCCTCTCGTGCCGATCTGGTTAAGGTTCCCAGCTAACAGCCGCGTTGAATTTTCCAGCCGATCCGCCGGGAGAGCGGCGGAGTTAAAGGCAGGTCACGCAGCAGCCTGAACCCCGGTTCTGACATGAGCCGGAGCTGCTTTTGACTGGCTCTGGATTCTTACCGGGGGGTTAATCGGATGAAATATTAATTGCATCGTCAAGGAGTAAAGATTTGCCATTTTGTACTCATCAGATCGGTGGGGTTTTGTTTCCAGTCCATTATTTTATGACTTTTGTGCTTAGGCATTAGCTTGCCAACGAGTAATTCAGAACCTGCTGTACGCTGTTTGTTTTCCCCCCAAGACTTAATTACTGTTTATTTTTCTCCTTTGAAGTGGGTAAAACTGTATTTCTAGGGTGATAAGGTGTAGTGTTTTTCAGTCTTTTTGAGATTCCCTGATAACTTCTTTACTGGCAACTTCTGGTTTTTACAGCTTGTTTCTAGACTTTGCCTGAATGAAGTGTTCTTGCAGTTAATTGCTTTTCGGGGATGTACAGGCAGAGGCAGTTTTTAAGTGTTCCTTTGTTTCATGAATTAAGTTTGAGACAACTTGAGGGAGTTCAGGTAAAGTACTCTCCAGCGCGATGTGACAGGCTTTTGTCGGTACCTGTGTATTTCCGCGCTCCCTCCGGATTAAAGCACGCTCGCCTTTATTTAAAAAAGGGAATTATAAAGACGACGCTAAAGCGCGCTTGTGGGTTTCTCTGTTTTTAAAACCAAGCGATACATACTGAAGGCATTTAGCACTGGTATCATAGGTCAGCGCGTGAGCGCTTTCCTTCCCCGCAACCCGAGGTTATCGTGATATCGCAGGAGGTCCCGGAGGTTCCCGGCAGCTGGATGGCTGCGCTGCCTGCAGAGCGTTTCCTGGTCGAGGACACAAAGCGCTCAGGCAGGGAAGTGAAACTTGGGTGTAATCGTGCAAACCAAAGCACATCGGCCGCGCCAGCGCGGCCGGCAGAGCTCAGAGCTCGACCTGCCGGCAGTCGCCAGGCGTCGAGCTCGGGGGCCGCTCGCGTCCCGATACGGCGGCTTAATCCTTCGCTAAATTCCCCGGCTTCTGTATTTCGGAGCCGGGTTTCAAATGCCACGGTTTTTATGAGGTGGTGTTTAGCGCCTCGAGGCAGCAAAACGAATGAAGGCATTTAATTCGGAGGGCTGAAGGCGGCGAGGCAGGAGTTTGTAACCACCTCTCGTTTCGGGACCCTGTTTTCAGGTAAAAAATTCTCTTGCACAGTCTTTTTTGCACAGGCAGCGGGTGTTGACTCCGTCTCGGATTTAAATTGCTAGCGTCACTGCTTAGAAATAAGTTTTGAACTCCTGTGTAGCTAGTAAAGGAAAATTCTAATGATAGGAAACGTCTATTTTTAAATCAAAATAGGCTCGTCAGGACCCTGTCGGTGAACCCCGGGGCAGCGTCGCCGGTTCTTGTGTTGCAGGAGCCTTGCTGCATTCCTCAGCCTTGTAAACCATATCCCTAAAAAATAACCCTGATCGGGGCGGACGGGAGTTGAACTTCTAATTATTTCTGGAGCAAATTAGATGCGTGTTTCTCAATGCTGTCATTAAATTTTCAGGAGCGTGTGGGTTTTGCTAAAATGTACACGGTCTCCTGATGTTTACTGAAATATTTTGCGTCTTCGGTTACCTGCGTTTTACATGTTGAAATGGCAATTTTGGGGGGTTTCCCGCTCCATTGTGCGTACGGCTTTGAGGTTTTGTGGCGGGGGCCAGATCCTTCCTTGGGGTTAGGCGGGCTTGCCGTGGCAGGGAGGTCTCTATTGTTTCCTTACCTTGTGTATCCTGTTGTTCTTTGTTTAATCTGTCATCGTACTCGATGCCGTGCCGGCTTTCGCTGGCTCCTTAAATCAGGAGCGCCGGGAGCAGAAGGAAAATACACGTATGTAATGCCACGTGGAGCTGCCCCTGCCCCGTCTCGCTGGGGGAGGCTTGCGTTTTGTGCGCTGTTGAAGTCAGCAGAGAAAGCGTTTAAAATTTGTGTGCTTTTGGGTGCTGGCAGCAAAGTGAATTTTGCCTTCCCCGGGACGCTGGTTGCGTTAACGCGCGAGAGATGGAAAAGTTTGCGCCGTCGTGAGCGTGGTCACCGAGCGTAGGAACCACGCTCTCGCGTCCGTAAATGCTGGCATTTGTGTAAATGTGGTGTTTTATGATGGGCTCTAAACCTCCCCGGTTCTACTGCTTGCATGCTTAAGTGACGGTGTCTTACAGTAGCTGTGAATTAAGCCTGTTGAAACTGCACCGGGTCTGTAGGGATCTTGTTGCTTTATATTTAATGTTGCTTTTTTTCCTGGCTAGTTGTTTCACCGTGCCTTTAAGCAAAATACAAATTTTACTCTTAAAAAGCACGAGCAAGACAGCTCTGACAAGCTGGGAGATTTGAGGTGTGCCTTGGCTAGTACGGTAGCAATTTTCTTATTTCCTTTTTTTTTTTTTCCTCTTCTTTCTTTCTCAGAACCTGAAAAGACCGCTACCGACTGCTGCAGTCAGGCTTCGTGACAAGAAGTTGCTTTTCAGAGGAAGGAGCTGTAGTGCTCTGCTGGCCTGTCAGCAGATTTCTGACAACTCCAGACCCCGTTTGCCCTCGCAGCTGGGATTTTGCCATCCCAAACCAGATATCTGCCGTTTCCCGCGTTGATACAAGGCGGCGCGTGAATTGCAGCTGCCGGCTGCGTTGCTGAAGGGCGAGGACTCTGGGTTTTTCCCCCCTCCTGTATAGCTGGACACTAGAGCAAACACGCTGAGATGTCTAAAAAGCAAAATACGAAAGGTAAGATGCGCGTGAATGTGATATAATCAAATGCCAATAAACAGCACTATTGATTCCGAAGTTATCAATTAGGAAAGGGGTTAATTGCTTTTGCTGTACTCCTTTCAAGGCTGCTGATGTCACTTGACAGCTTATTGTCACTATCGCAGTGACATCCTATAACCTGCTGGGTCTTGTGACATTTTTAGTAGCGTTTCAATTGTCCAGCTGGACAGTTCTGATTTCACGCGTTCCTGCCTAATGTTAGTATCGCATCGCTTTCCCAGTCAGACAACAGGAAAAAAAAAAATATGGTGTAGGAGTTGCAGAGTTACGGACCCAAACTTTTTTGTTTTACTGGGGTCCCCGGCTGGTTCGTGACTTCCCCTGGCTGCGTTCGGCCCGGATGAATCTGAGGGCTGTCTGGGTCGCCGGTGGAACTGACGCTACCACAACGTAGCCCCGTTCCCTTGCGCACCCTCTCGGGTGCCGGGGGCCCGTGGGCGCCGGGCGTTTGGGGCAGGCTTCTGTCTTGGACCTGCTTTTGCTGCCTGCCGCAGCCGCTTGCCAGGAATCCGGTTAAGAAACAAGGCATCGGATGGAGGTGGGATGGCTCAGCTCGGGCCCGCGCCTCCTGGGGATGCGATTCAAACTAGCCCGATTTAAATCTGTTTCCTTCGAGATAGGTACAGAAGGGCAACGGGCAAGTTTGCGAGAAGCGCTCTCCCTTGCTTTGTCTTCAAATGCACGGGCTGCTTTTCCTTTTGCTGCCATCGCATGTTAAGTGGGAAAGCTGTTCTGGCGCCAAGCAGCTTATTTCAGTGAGGGATCTTATTTGTCGCGTGCGAAACATTAATTCCAAAGCGTGTGTGTGGTGGGGGGAGGAGGGGGGCTGAGGGTTACGGTTCTCTTTTTATTTGAACTGACTACTAATTAATAATTTAAGGCGAATGGGTTTGACAATTCATGTCCTCTACCTCGAGAGAAGAGCTTTTGTTCTCTGTAGGCTTTTTTTTTTTTTTCTAGCAGCTTTGGCATAGAAACGGTGTCTACCTGAGGAGCCCAGCCGTCCTTTGACAGCTAGATCCATACATGATTCAAAGCAATTAGTAACAGTTATGGAAATTATCGTATAGGCTAATTTTTGAGTGATTTTTAAAGCGCTGTGTTTGTGTCTGTGCTCTTGGAAGCCTCGGTACAAGTCATTGAGAAATTGACTTCTCTCTGGTGCTGGAAACGGAGCCCAGCAATTGTCGTTGCTGAGGACCTGTGGAGAGAAAAACACACCGGGCAACAGCAGAAGAGAATTAACGGGTCTGGGGAGGGGAACGGCAAGAGAAATCCGTCGGAGGTAACGGGGGGAAAACCTGGGAAGCGGTTGCCCTGAGGGGATTCAGGGGCTTGGCAAAGCCCCAGCCGAAGGAGAAAGCCAGCGCAGGCGCCGCTCTCCGCGG